TTGGGCAACTTAGGAATTTTAGTTTTTTTCATATGCTGGGCAACCTGTATTTCAAGGTTTCAGAGCAGTGAGCTCCCTTCACTTTTTCTTAGAGCACAGCCTTGCAAAATCAAGCAAACAAGTGATGCAAATAAAGAAAAGTATCAACAAGGGGATTATTGTTAATCCAGAACCAAATTTTCCAAACTAACATTTTAAAAAGTGTCAGGCAAACAGTGAGGAGAATTACTAACAATTAAAACGATATTGATGACAGATTAGTCTAAAATATCATTACCATGTTTATTACATCCATTTTGAAATCACTGGCTCTAGTTGGTGCAATTTCTTCATGAATCACACCATTTTTTGCTCTAAATCGCATCAATTTATGCTTGACTGAGTTTTTGACGCATGACATCAAAGTCTTTCTGTTTTGCATGCAAAATAAGATGTAAAAGCATTTCCAGTTCCGCTTATTATTTAAAACCGGCTCAGCACTGCACCAATAAAATATTTTAATTGACTAAGTCCTGTATTTGGGCAATTTCAAGATGGATGTAATAAAGTGGTAATTGAACCTCGTGTTGTGCAATTTTGGTCTGAAATCATACTTGTGATTTCAAATCAAACTCGCGCTGCGCACTTATTTGATTTTGAAATCACGCATATGATTTCAGCCCAAATTGCACTCCACTCAGTTTAATTACCATTATAAATTCACTCTTTTTTACTGCCCAGGAAATAAAGGGCTAATTTGGAAATAATTTTCAGGACAAAGTGTACTGCCTGCTTCAGTTGGAAGATACAAGGAGACCTAGAAGGTACATGTAATGGATAAAATGTAAATAAAATGGAATAAAAGCAAGGACTCCCAGGTACTGAATCCAGTTTAAGCATTTGCATAAAACATAATTATTTGCATACAATGTTTGCAGCCACTTAAATTTCATCACCTTTCATTTCATATCAGTAATATAAATCACTTACCAAAACCTGAAAATCCCATCAGGGCCTTCATTGAATCTGAAGTTTCACTTTCCTTTATTAAATCAGCTTAAAAAAAAAAACAAGACAAAATAGCTATTACAACAGTACTACTTTTGAAGTTCAGACATTTAGCTACAAAATCACAGCTCCCAAATCTAATACATTGAGCTTGAGACTCACACAAGCAAATTTAATCTTATGCTCTCATGCTGGAACTATCATTTCTCACACATTTTAGGGTTTCTGATTTAAACTGTTGATTTGAGGAAGCAAACTACTACTTAAGTTAGGTGCCTATAAAATGAATCATCCTTCTAACTACAATTTACTCCTTGTTCCCTCTGTACTTGCACTGAATGCTTTCCAACAGTGGAAATTCTTGCTCAGAAAAAGGGAGGCCCCTGTTGTAAGGATAGCCTGAGAGTTACTCCTTTTAAATACTGTATATTTTGCAGTAAATGGTTTGAACCCAGGGGTAACATGTGAAGGTGTAGTCTCTCCACTTGACTCTGATGATGACTTCCGCACAGGTTGTCCAAACATCAGTCACTGCCACCGACAACAGTCCTTCTCAGGACTACACTCACCCGGACGATCAGACTACACCTTCACACTGTATATTTTTCAAACATATTTATGCACAAATTGAGTATTAATAAAAATAATGCAGGTCTTCCCTTCTTTATTTTTTCACAAATTTCACTAGGGTCATGTCTTCATACCCCTATACCAACAAACTTGCCCCCTCCCCTTACCCCAAAGTTAGTGATGCCCATGACATCACAATCAAAGTCTATGTAGTAAAAAATCTCACTCTTTGTCTGCAAATCAACTTGGAAGCTAGGCTCTGAAGTGTATATGTACATAGAAAAAGTAATATAGAAATTCTATTTGTCATGGCACCCTATGTACCTCCACTCTTGGATGACACACTCAAAGGCTCTGTTGATGTCGCTCGTGTTGATTCTCCTGCAGTTCGCGTGATTTTCTCATTCCTGTCTTGCTCTCGGCTCCGTGACGGGCGAAAAATGTGAGCAACCGAGTTAGACTGATTGTATTTGGATGAGGCTAACAACAAGACAACAGTAACATAAAACGTTTTTGAGCGACAGCACATTATAGAGCCATCACCGAATTGATAACTCCTGGTTACCACTGCACACTCGATATTTAAATATGTCCCACAAAGTTTATTAAAGAACTTTGAGGCTGAAATTTCATATTTTATGCGCCTCGACCTCAATCGAAGCTGATGGAAGTGATGCCCGAACTCAAAACATTCTTATTAATGAATTTTACCTCTCAGCGCTCGCATTTCTTCCAGGTCCTCGTCTTCCATTTCACTGTGTCACACGGCGGGGAAAATCAGAAGTACGTTACAAATATACTTGAAGGAAATTGTAATGTTTTGATGGCTGGTCAATCCGCCATGTTGGATTTCTTGATGTAATGCGCATTCTCAGTGTAGTAGCATCCGCTGAAAAGTCTTAATCACCGAAAGTCATTAGTTTTCGTTCTTTAGTTCCAGTCAGTCCTGACAGGACAAGCAGATGCATTGAAATAACATCATCACTAGTGGGGATTTGTCGATCCAGAATACCCTAAGCGAGGCCAAGAAAACGAACTTTGATTTATCACAAATTAAGAACCAGAGATTTACGAAATTACGGAAATATAATAATCAGTCAGGCGCTCTCGTCATTTACGGCGCGAAAAGAGTAGGTACTAGAAAACAAACGCGGACTGCATAAAAATGAGGCAAACCGGCGGGAAAACTACTGACTTGGAACACTTCGTTTCTGCCGAGAGAGAGACAGATGAAAAAATGTGTTTAAACGGACCCTTATGAGCGGGAGGTGACATAACGCGGAGCCCTACTCCATGGACTACCTTAATGGAATAGCCTTAAAAGTAATGTATTCGTCAGATAAAATACTTTATAAAGATGGTAAATCGTTTAGTTGTACACATCTTAAATTATTTTGATCTTGCCAGCTGTATGATTGTCACAGTTCGATACAGTCCACGAATAGGCCTTTTGGAGCTAGAGATCACTTCCTTAGATACCGCATAGCAACGCCATACTGGAGAGCAAGCACT